ATTTGTTTAATTGCAATAACTATTAAATGAGGTAGAATATTTGCTAAAATTTAAATAGATTATTAATGTAATCTGTTCTGTAAGATTGGTGGGTTACTCCAAGCCAATTTTGGAAGATTGGTAAAATCACTCAAATTATTCGTATAATAAACACGTTCAATATGTGCGAGAGAGTTGACGTTTTCTTTATGCAATATGTAAATGAATGATCGATGGTTGTACGAAATACAGTTACAAGTATATAATTTTACAACTATAAATACTAAAATAGATTTTTTGATGGAAAGAATATTAAATAATGTCAAATTACATTTTAATTTAATCATAAATGAATAAGACATGAATGGAAAAATATTCAACACAATGCTTTTTTTCTCATATTTTTATTTATTCTCAAAAAAGAATGACTTGGAAAATTTTTAATAAAAGAGTAAAAGAAAATGAAAAAAAATTTTTTTCTAGCTGTATTTAATCCATGAAAATCCATTGAAAAAATCTTTTCAGTTAATTTTAAATTTTATCATTTCTCTTATCATTTGGATAAGAGGGATTTTTCGAATATCAAAAATTATCGCTACGGAATAATTTTTGCGTTTTTTTTTGTAATAACACGAATTGAATCCTTAACTGATTACTGCAAGACTGATAAATAGATAGGCATAACTTTTAATTTTTTACACAGCATTCCAGTTTTCTTTTGTTTTTATTGAGAAGTGTTCGATAATGATAAAAAATGATAAGAAGACGATCAACACATATTAGATAAAGTAAGAAGACAGAAGACAATGATTTTCATGAAAATGCAGCCGAAGTATAATTTACAAATGAAAAATGAAAAAAGTAATTTAAATTGACGGATTTTTTTTCTCTCCCCAAAAATTTGTTATTTTTATGTATGGTGAGAAATATGTAAAAAATTTATGAGTGATTTTCTCGAATAATGGGAAATTACTAATATCCGGAGTCTTTCCGTTGAATTTTATTTGTTCATCTAACTTTTTTTTCGTTTTTTGAATTTTATTATTGAAATTTGAATAGTTGTTAGCGTAGATTTTTGAGACTGGAAGTATAAAGCAACAGAGACGGAAAAGATAAAAAAAAAGATGATCATAAATAAGAAGATTATGATGAAGAGAAAAACAAAAATTTGGTTGATTTTGAAACATTGAGGACGATGTATAATAATTCTGTTTATTGAAACGAATGTATAAATGAGTGTTTTGGGAGAAAATATAGCGATGGTTAGGGAAGAGTATAACGGAGTGAAAAATATATTTGCTACCGTAATTTCTAATATTAAATTATAGAAATTTAAAATGGCTCACTTGCAATTCATCATAATTGATTGCAAATTATAATCATAGTTATTTTTAAAGAAATAAAATATTTCATATTGTTTAGAAATTTTGAATGTAACAATTATAGCTAATGTATTTGTAATTTTATATGCCATAATATTCATGCATTTGATAAAAGGATAGAACTAAATGGTTTTATGATGAAAACAAATACAGTGTTTAATAAGAAAATAAGTCATAATGATTGTGATGAAAAGAATTACTAAGCAGTAATGAAATTATAATTACCTGTGATAAGATCTAATCTATCTTAATCTGTTGTGGATGACGAATTTTAGTTTGATATCTCGTAGCATGAACTATTTGATAGTAATTTATGAATAAATGAATTGAAATCATAAGACAAAAAATGTTAATGATAAGAAAAGAGATGGAAAAGTTAATTATATAAATTTATATGTGTTAGTAAAATCTAATATATCACAATATATATGGAATATTTTAATGAAAATCTAGATGTGTAATGAGAAAAAAGTATTATGAAATATATTTAAATCCTGAGTTAATTAACAAATAAAATAATTAATTGTTGTATTGACTGCAATATTTTTCATTATTTTGTGAATTATGTGATTTTTTTTACAATTTCAAAAAAGTTAAATTAGCATTATCATGCAACTACAAAAAATAGTTGTATGTGTATTCATATGTTTATTGTTATTGAAGGCACAATTGAAAAATTTGTGAAAGATAGTCGTGTTTTTCTAAGATTTAAAATATTTGATAGAAAATGTTGTAAAAGATTTAAATCAGTTCCTAAATACACATTTATTATTACAATGTGAATTTATCTGTGAAATGATATATTTCATTTTTTTTTCTTATCGTGGAATAATTTTTTTTATTTTTAAAATTAATTTATATAAACTTTTTGAAGCAAAAATTTTTTTATTTCTAATAAGATTTTTCTTATAATAAAAGCTATATGGTGGTGCATTTTCAAGTTTATAGTCCTAATGAAAATTCTTGATTCGTCGGATGATGAAACAGATGGTATGAGATTGGGATTAGAAATGTCAGAATCAAGTTCATCAATAACAGATGACGAGTCAACCCTTCCCGATGGGATGTTTATTGTTCAAGAGATTGTTGATCACGAATGGTAAATGATATATGCTATTCATGTGCGGAAAATGGAATTTTAATTACTTTTTTTAATCATTGATAATTTTAATGTATCCTGAAAATATAATATAGTGGAAAAGTTATGGTTTCTTTGGTAAATTATAATTAATTAATCAAAGATATTATTAAAGAAGTGCTAAATTTTGTTATAATCAACTTCAGCTATGGTGAGCTGCGACGGAAAAAATTGATCGATCGACGAAATATTTCTCATAATAGTCTATTTTTTCGCGTATGTTTTCATCAGAAAATTTTTATCTTTTTTCTCGTCTGATAATTTTGCTAATCCGGATATTTGCATCCGTAAATGATGATGATTTTTTTTTCGCCAGTTATTTATGGACGTATTGGTTGATGTTCAATCTATCAATTAATAATTGGATAAATATACTAATGCATTTTAAGGTTCACTGGAAAGGTTTTCCGGGTCAAGATACCTGGGAACCATTGAAATCCGTTCAACATCTTGATGTCTTTAAAGAGTATGCACGAAAGCATAATCTGATCCATTTGATTCGTAAGTTCTAAATTGATGCATGTAATAATTGAGAGTAACATATAAAACTAGTCATAATTTTATCAAATTTGCTAATAATAGACGATGTTTTCCATACCTTTACTGCATTTAAAATCAGAATTCAATTATCAATAAACTACAGAAAATAATCAAATTTTAAAATAAAATACATTATCTGACAAATGGCAGCAACATTTGAAATCACGCATAATTTTATTAAATTTAACTCAATTTTTGTTATAAATTTTTAAGAATTTGTGCATTACTTTAATTTCAAATGCTAGTAGCCGAAAAATTTTATGATGATTAACTTTTATAATGTTAAAGATGGTAAAATTTTGTTAATTTAAATGTTTTTAAATGTGATGGGATATGAAAAAAACAGAATTTTGATAGGTTTCAAACAGGAAGTATTCCTACTCTTGTCAAAAAGACGCGTTTCATAATTGTCCGAAATTTGATAAAATTTTGATAGTATAAATTTGATAAAGATTCGAAGAAAAAAATTTGGTTTGATGGATGAAACTAAATAGTATGGAGCGGATTTTCTCTTATCCTTCTCACTTTTTTTTAAAAATTTTATTCATTTTCTTTTCAATTCAGCAGCTAGCAGTGATAGCAGTGAAACAGACAGTACAGATACTGATGAAATAAACAAAGAAGAGGGAAAAAAAAGAAAGATTTCTGAGACTGATAATGAAAAGTGCCCAAGAAAAAAATCAAAGATTCTGATTGATTCGGAAACCGAAGAGGTACACTTAGGCGTTAATATTTTGATTTGGTTGGTAACAATTCTTCAATTTTTTATTCTTTATTTTTTGTGTAATGTGTATCTTCATTTAATCTTTAACTTCAAATATCTTACGGGAAAAATTATAAATAATAAATTTACGTGAAATTAATTTAAAATTTTTATTTATTCACTTACTTTACTATTATTCCCCAATTTTATTTAATATTTAACATCTTTTTTTGTGAAATCGTTGAAGCTTGAGATCAATCAAGTAAGAGAAAAGGAAGTTTTACTATACATTTTTAATCTTATTACTAAAAACTGTGAATGAAATTGTTGGATACATTTACTGAATTAGTTTTTTAGTGCTCTTCCCCTCTCTCCCCTCTTTCTCTTCACTATCGTTTTTTTAGATTGTTGACATTTAATTCATCTCATTATTCATAGATATCTCTTGATTTTTTTTTAATTAATCACTTTAATTGAAAAAAGAAACATTCATACATGTCATAATAATCAAACATCAATCATTTACTAAATTAATTTTTAGGAAAATGATGAAACAGTGAATTCAAGAGGAAATAAACAAAAATGTCAACGTCATGATTATAATCATGTTGTGAAATGTCCTCAAAGGATAGATTCTAAAAAGACATGGTGGTTTCGCCGTAACGAAGTAATTTCTAACAATTGTTCTTGTTTATTATCATTCCTTATGACTGTTTGGTATAGTCGATACATATGCAATAGATTATAGAGAAATAACGGTATTTTTACTTAAACTTTCAAAACACGGGGCTTGAATTTCGAAAAAAAAAACATTTTCTCATTTTTTCTAGTAATACTATAATTTGAATTGAACGTCATTAAATGCTTTCCGGAAAAAAGCTTTCGATCTATTGTGATCACATTTATGCCTATCGATCATACTGAAAATATGACCGATAGGTATGAATGTTGATCATAATAACAAGGTAACAATATATTAAAAAATCGGTTATTCCTGATGGAAAAATATCAACTTTTCATTATTTATTAAAGTAAATGACAAAGTTTGTCTTTTAGAAGAAAAATTTTGACTGTTCGCAATTGTTCACTCGTGAAAGAAAGTATGATGTATCATCCTGTACGTCAACTTATCAGGTTGGAAAGAAGGTTTCCCTTTTTCATTTAAAATATTCAATCAAGATATTATCAAAGAATACAAGAGCAGAAAAGATAAGGTAGTTCGTTGAGTATTTCATTTATTCAAAAGAAAATTCGAAATCTTGCATTTGAATTAATGGCACCCAATAAAGATGGTTTGATTCTGAAATGGAATCAGCTGAAACTTTGAAATTGAACACATTTATTAGTATCATTACTTCATTCAAAATATCAGCTCAGTTAAATCTAAAAAAAAAAGAAAAACAGCTCTAACCTTTTAATGATACAGTGATCGCAGATTGGATTAATTAAATTATGTTACGTAAGAATCTTCCACTCTAAAGCATCCTTGCAATTTTTATTCAGCGTAACTTTCAGTGGGTAATGAAACTAATGTAACTTATAAAGATATGCAATATTTTTCCTTCTTAATCTGTTTCAAAAATATTTTGTTGCAATGAAAAATCAGGCAAGCAGAATGTTGGCATAAGGACGAATTCATTTTAGAAATGGAATTACACACAATGTCATTCTGATCTTTGCAAAAAAATTGGAAAACAAGTTAACTTTTTCAAGTTTATCTGATAAGATTATCAATTCTTTTATCAAAAATCGTAGAAATTTCGTAATTTCAGGGATCAAAAAAAAATAACAATCATATAGCTCGTTGCCCAATTAGAAAATATATTGAAATGACCACTGATGGCTTTACTGCTACTACTAACCGTACCCGATCTATTTCACCAATTATTGACAAAGTGCTACGAGTAATTTCGTTATTATAATATTTTCTTTTAATTTTTTTTTTGCAGGAGAGTGTGAAATTACCGATTGTAAAATTATATGTCCATTTTTCTTTTAACTGATTAATTTGGATCCTAAGTTAATGCAACTATTGATTCCAACAATTTTTTTCTTTTAAATACTATTTAGGAATGAAACGATGAAAGAAAAAAAGTTGAATTTTTCATTTCAAATTTTTACTTTTACACTAAAAGTTACACTGAAGGAATGAAATGTTTCGAAAAAAATGAGGCTGATTTAGAAAATTTTAAAACTTATTTACTCTTTGTGTATTTCTTTTCAGAAACAACAATTATATGATATAATTGATGATGAAGAATTTCGTGATGATCAGAATTTTTTGAAAGGAACAAAAATATCCTCTGCTATAGCACAATCTGAATTAGCGTTTATGGCAAAAAAATTAGAAGAAGGCTGCGTTCTTCGTATGTTTTGGATGTAAGTTATATTATGTTTCACATATATTGTTAGTTTTACTATGCTAAAAATTCTATAGAATTGATATTATTAGTTTATTTTATTTCTTTAATACATAATATTTTCCCATAACAAAGGAATTATATAGTTATTAGTTATGTTTTCTTTTTTCTTTAAAAACTTATTTAATAAGCTGGAAAAGAATGTTCCATCACATTTATATGTTGAAATTTTGATAAATTATTCAAAACTTTTTCCAGTAATAATCTCTTTCTTTTTCTTTTTTTTTTAAAATACTCTTTTATTCTGTATTATGGTTGCTGAAAATATAGCCACATAAATCATTTTGTACATTATCATGTGGAAAGCAAAGGCTGATAATTAACTGGAAATACACTAATCTATCTTCAGGAAAATTCATAACTACAATCTCCATTCACCTTTGCGACAAATACGGAATGCAAAAGCATATGAATTAAACTGTATTCTTTTCAAGATTGTTAGAGAGGTTTTTTATTTTATTATTTGCATAGAAATTCCATTCATCACTTCTTTTTCATTTCAATATATATTGCATAGAAAAAAATATATATTTCCATAGAAATTTCATTCATCACTTCTTTTTATGAGTGATAGACACTTTGTCCATCAGTGATAAACATTTTCTGTCAATGATTGCTTCGTGTGACAAATAAAAATGTGACAAATTTTGAAGGACGAAATATTACTTCATGCCACTATTTTCAAATGTTATAAATAACCAGAAAAAAAGACACTAGAAATGGTGTAGTCAATTAATCGAGATTAGGCTCCATGAAATGAATAAATGAGTTGTTGAAATCATATGAAATAATTGAATAATTTTAGTTAAATAGTTTGTATAATACAAGTTAGCCTTAAATTTCCAATCAATAAAACTAATGCTAGTATTTAAAATGATGTCCAAACTCCCTCTTTCTCTGTCCTCTGTCTTTTAGAGATTATATTGGGAAATTTTCGATGAAATAACAAGTTATGATAAAAGGCTCCGAATATATCTTTTCTTTAATTGATTTTAAACGAAATGTTTTTCAGAGCAAAGTTTTCGAAAAGCATTATTTTCTATTGCGTAAATGTTTGGCAGAGCAAAATGCATTTGAATTTTTAAACCAGTTACGGATTATAAAGGGATGGTGTGTTTCAGCTTCGGAAAATTTCGATGCAATTATTTTTGTAAGTTATATTTGCGAAATTTATCGAGATGATAGAGAAGAATAAGTAATGAATTTGGAATTGATACGATTTACATATACATGCATATATTTTGAGGTGCGGATGAACTATTTTCGTCTTAGGAATATAAAATTTTTAAATTTTCACTTGGTTAAAACAGATAGAAAGCTTGCATTAGATGGAAAAAATATAAAAAATGTTCTTAGCACAGCAAATGTGTCACAAAGATTACAATGCAATTTGAAATGAATTTTACTCTTCTAACATATTGAAATATAGTTTCCATATGACAGATCATAAATATTTCCATCAAAAATGAAATAAACATATATAACTATAAAGAATTTAATATGGAGTAAATCATTGGTAGAAATTAAAATTAATATAAATATATTGATAAAAAGTAACCAAAGTTAGCCAATAGCAATAAAATATAATGAGAATAAATGAAGTTTATGATAGTTTATAATAGTAAACGAAACATTTATGAATTTAATTTTAGGTCATGTTTACTGCCAGTGAAAATATTTCTAAATTTGTCCAAATATTATCCAATAATTGCTATGCACCAGAACATCATAGATGTGGGTAAGAAATTCCTGTCAATATATTTCGTTTGTATTATAATGTTTTAACTGATTATTTTTATTCAATATTTAATATTCCTTATTTTTAAAATTTTCATTTTTTTAGGATTTTCGAAATCTTATTGTCATGTCTTTCATTGAAATATCGAGCTAAATTATTTGAACGCTTAAATCACGAAACAAAGCATCGACTTTTAGATATTGTCATAGGAATAGGTTGCAGTGGTGGTGGATTTTGTCTTCTTGATACACTAATCAAATATGGTATTTTCCTTTACTTTATACTACCATTCCATACAGTGCCATTCTGTTTTTGCTTATTTTCAATCTTTACCTATATTTGTTTTTTGTTAAATTTAATTTGGATACTGTTTATACAATTTATTAAAAAATTTATACAATTAATACAAAATTTATACAATTTTTACAAATTTATACAATTTGTTTATTTTATACAATTTTTATACATGATACAATTTGGATACTAAATTGTTATCCGATTGTAATTAATTATGATCAATTTGAAAGTATCTAACAGTACTTGATATATTCTTGGCAGTTCTAAATTGAGTTGAAAAGATCTTAGTTATTTGAAAATACATGTATTCGTAGGCGGAAATGAATTTCTTAAATTAAGTCAGTTTCTGAATTAACAAATGAATATATGTAACAATTTCAAAATGATGATGATAAAATAAAATTCTTTTCACATATTTTCTTATGCATTCAAACTATTAATAATGGTAGCAATTGCGTCTACCAAATAAGTAAAGAGCCTTTTGAAAGAACTCTTCGCAAATTTTTTATTTTAATTCATCAACTAATCAGTGATAACAACCTATTTTCAAAAACATTTTCTAAGGTATTAATATTGGTTGTACAAGAATTCATCCGATACAGCAGTGCGTGTTAAGTGGGAATAAAGATGCAGTAAGTATTTTTGCTGAAATTATCAATCTTAAAACTTATCCAGCTTGAATGTTATATTCCAATATGTGTTATAATGCGTCACACTTATACACCGTTAATTAGATTGTTAGTTCAATTAGCTGTTTGTGATATGCAGTTCATAACGAGATGCATTTTTGTAAGTTCCAATCAAAATTTAGGTATATTTGATTTATAAGTTTATTGAAGTTAGCCGGGTATTTCAAGCTGTGTAATAGGAATTAGTTTATTGTTCTCACTGAAATGGAAACATGCTAATAAGAAGTTTCTTTCTTTTAAAGAATAAATCTGTTTTGGAATAGTTTTAGAATTAATGAAGAACATATCAAAAGCTACAATTAGATCATATATTTCAGGCATTGCATTTGATTTTAAATGGTTTTGAGGTGAAACATATCAAAGAATTACCTAACAATAATCTGCACGAAGAAACTTGCAAGGTTTAATTTACAAAATGCCTTTTTTAGCATTCGAAATTTTATCACATATTAAATTAATCTCTCGTAAAATTCTCATATATTCGTTCATGTCTGTCATTTACTGATATTCTTCAACTTATTATGGACTACCATTTCAGTTCATATTAGATCTTCAGCATTTTGTTGTCCTATTGTTTAGATTTTAAAAGTTTGATAATAAATTTTCTGCATGCAATTCTTAAAGTTTAAATAACATCTCCAAACGTTATCTTTTTAAATAAAGCAAATTCGTTATAGAACTAACAAATATTTAGGAAATTTTTTTTTCTTATTCTCGCGAATAATTTTTATAGATTATGGATTTCATAAATACCTATTTGGATCGTCTAAATTTAAATATTCAATACTGGACTATGGCACTGATGAAGGAGCATAGTACGAAATTTACACGTGACAGTGATATTTTTCCGATATCAAATATTTGTTTATATCGTATTGGTCAAATTGATCGAAACGTATTTATTGCTTTATTTTTCATAAAGTTTTCACTAACTTTTTTTTAATTCTCTTTACTACTACATCCCTCTCACCTTGCTAATAATTATATTCTACCTACATGTATCTACCACATCTACCATACTTACAGCGTTCATTTAGCCTGAAGAAAATTTCCATACTCACTTTTAAAGCTATTCTTGATTCACCTTGAATAGGTGAAACAAAATTTGACCTCATACATAAGTTACATCAGATTTTCTGATATCTTACATTTTTTCTTTTGAGAATGATATTAATCACGATGAATTTTAGATATGTCTCATTGTTTCTTCAAGCAATTCATTATCGACAACAACATTATCATCCAAAAAATCATATGTAATAAACTTTAGTACTTATTATTATATGTAAAAATTGGCTTACAATTTGATCTCTTACATTGATTAAAATGGTCGTAAAATGATAATATAGTTATGAGGTATATATTATTGTGATGGCTTAAATCTTCCAGCAAATAACCGATACTATAGTACTAATACTATTACTGTAAGAGGTGCTAATAACATTGACATTGTTATTATTTATTTTAAGTTTCTGGTTATAACTTTAACTTAACAAGTGATATATTATTTTAGGTGTTAGTTATGCATTCGTTTAGTTTGTCATCAGCTGAAAGTATCATGGACATTGGTATTCATCAACGTCATTTACCTGTTCAATTTCATAAACATTTACAGTATGTATTACTTTTTTCATTGTTAAATTTTTGCTTTCCTATATTTAATAATTTAATCTTTAAATCATTTCCTAACTGCTTACAAATGCTTACGACTCAATAGAAATGTGGACTTTTTTTTTTTACCTTCTAATTAAGTATTTCTATACGTCAGTGCTTTTCTTGAAGTTGAAGTCTAAGTATTAAACGAGATTAATTATTTTCATTTGATTTTTTTAAAAAGAGTTGATTTGATTTTATTCACTTATTTAAGACAGAAATAGTGAAATATATCCTGAGTACTATTAATTACTGCTTTTCTTGAAGATTTCATTTTGGCAATCAAGATGATGAAATGGATCTGATTTGCATACTTCACAATGATCGTAGTTGCATCTATTGGTTTCCACATGGATACAACAACAAAATAGGTAAGGAAATTAGAATAAGATTATTACTGATGATGTATAACCCAGTTATCTTAATTAGGATAATTAGCTTGAAATAGTATAAATGATTGAATATTTATATCATTTATAATTGAGAAATCAAAATTGAAGTTAATAGCTTTCTACATTAGCATAACCTGATACTGTGTAGTAGTATTGTAAAAATGCAAAAATGTTTAAAAAAAGGACGAAAAGCGTAGAAATGATATTTGCAAGCATGTAAAAGTTACGGAAACTATAGGTACACGGGTACACGTAAAATTATCATATACGCCAAATGATTATATCAATGAAACGAACGATCTCGTCGTGTTACAACTCTGGGCTGTACAGATTTCTCCAGCACTGCTCTTGACTCTCATTAAAAAAGCTGAAATAGAATAAAAGCTGCTTCACTATAAATTTGTTAATTTGCTGTCGATAATATTAAAATATTTATTCTAATCTGTTTTTTTTTTCTGAAATAATGATATTGTAAGAAATATTTATTGCTATTCTCCTTTATTGTAAATAACAATTCAATGACAGTATTATTCAGTTATTGTAAAAATTACGAATGTTTGAACATTGTTTTGAAAATAATGATTCGAGAATTATTAGGGTATCTTACTCCTCTTTTTCCTTCTCTTTTGCGTTAGTAGCTATCAGCTATTAATTATTGCACAGATATGAATTATCGTAGAATCGGTAACTATCCTGAAGTAAATTTAGGCCAGGAATTGTTGCCTTTCTCTTTTAAATTACTTGAGAAGAAAACGGTGTAAAATTTACAATGCACTTTAAGTTTTTATTATTCACTGATTCCGCGTATTGTTATGATCTGTATGAATCTGCTAGATTTTAGATTTTCAAATTAATTTTATACATGAATCATAGTGGATATGTTTTATTTTTCAGGTTCTTTTCCGTTTTTAATTTTTCTTTTTTCTTCTTGTGATGTTGCACATAAATGATCAGTAATATTTCTAACTTGTATCTTCGTCTATTGACGCTTTAAAAAAAAATTGAAATTTATTTGTTCATATAAATTTCTTCTAACTAGTTTCAACATTCAAGACTCAAAATTGTTGTTAACTCTTTATTTTATAGTGTATGTTACGAAATGGAAGGCAACATAGTTAAGTGTTAAACTGATAAAAATCAGGCAATATTGAATCAATGATAAGAATTGACACCTCCATCCTTCCCTTTCGCACTTTGTAGCAGAAAATCCTGCATTATCGGAAATAATATATCTTCCTTTACAGGATGCGCAATCGGACAGTTGACAGTTCACACATATTAAATTTTTTCTATTTGGAGAATATAAAATAAACAAAGTAAAAAATTGATCAATATAATGTGTACATATATGCATAATATAATGAAGCTCAGCATTAAGAATAATAGGACATTGTTTTGCTATGGCATTCGTTTTTTCTTTTTGGAGAATACAACACTAATTACAAAAAAGTTTAAAGTTTCTTTTTCTTTTTCGAATTTACTCATTTAGGCATGAGGACGATGTACATTATAGCTAATGCTAATCCGAAATGATGAAATTATTGATTTCTGGAAATGAAGAGAAAATATGCAAATTTACACGATAATAATGTTTGCCGAATATCATGGAATTTCATTTAGTGAAAATTGCATATAATTGCAAGAATATTTTCATCTTAGCTTTAAATTTTAAATTATTATCAATCAGTACATTGCATTTTGTAAGAAATTATTTACATTATTAAAAAATTTTAGAGATTTGCGTAAAAGAATAGAAAAAAAGATCGAAATGAATTATCGAAATTATTAAACAATATAAAGTACCAATCAATACATCATAATCTAATCACAATTTATACGATCATCGGAGAATTCAAAGAACGAAAATTAAAGTACGGAAATTTAAAGAAAATTGAAAATTAAAAAAAAAAGGATTATTCAACATAAAAAAAAAAAATATTAAAAAGCATTAAACATAATAATGGATGGATTATGCAATACAGAATGACTATGGAATTTTTTTGATTAATATTCGGTACGATAAATTTCTTTTTCAGCAATTACTGTGATTGATTGTAAACCCGAGACATTACGGTGCAAATAGAATAACCGGAAAGGATTAACAATTAGAATATAATTCATTATCGAATTAATTAATCAATATGAGGTTAATTAGCGTATTTGAAATTGGGTATGTCATTCTCTCACATATAATGCTACAAATGAGTTAGAAATAGATACTAAAAGTTAAATTTGAAAAAAGAAAGCAAGAAATTCAAAATTTGAGGTTAGTCGAAATAAAACCGGATATTATCATAAAACTGTATGATTTTTTTCTTTAACAGTGAGTAATCGCTTTAGCATTCTTCGATGATAATTGAAAGTCATTGGATGAACTCAACGAATCATAACTTCCTTCCGATACAGAACCATTAGGCGCAATCTGAAAATTGAAAAATAATAAATAATAAAAGAATAGAAATGACAATGTTACTTTTTTTTTTTCGATATGATCACAAAAAAAGTAATGTAATAAAGTAACTGTAATAATAGTAATAATTAGTTATGATTATGTTACATTTATCAAAGAAAATTGTAATTACAAATCGAAATAATCATTAAAATTATTGTGAATTATTGATATTAATTATGTGTAATATTATTTACAGCACTTTTTTTTTTAAAATAATTCAATAGTATGATTTTCAATATGAGAAATCATGAAATTTCTATATTTAGCACCGTTTGTGGATTGATATTTTTGGAATCATTAACTGTTTGATTCTGTGCAGCAACACGTCGTTTCAACTCTTCGTTCTCCTTCATTAATCGTCGAATTTCACGTTTTTGTTGCTCAATTATTTCCTAAAATAAATGAGTAATTTTTGAAATTTCACTTCTTTTTTTTGCAATATTAAAATCTTCCGAAATTTATTAGTGAGAAATGAAAAAATTCTTAATTCAAAAGATTCTGCGTTATTTCAGTTTTCTGTTATCTCTTATTGTGAGAGGATTTAAGGATGATAAGACGATTTTTTTTTTATGAATTTTGTATGAATGTATAAGCAATTAATAATCTTTTTGTAAATCATTCTAATAGATTTTTTTACACAAATTTTATTAAATCCATTTATTTAGTTAAGAGTTTTTTCAGTTAAAAGTTAAGAGTTAGAAATAAATAAAACATTTGACCTGTTGGCTAAGTGCATGCGATTCTTTTCTTGGCCATTGCTTCATACCGCTAAAAGGAAAAGAAGACATTAAATGAAAAAGAAAAAAGCAGTGAATTCAAAATAACGAATCATTTTAAAATTTTAAAATTGTAATACAGCAAATGGTAAAATTTTTGAACATGTAACTATCACCAAGTGTATCGAATATTTATCCTTCCTTTGTAATTAACAAATTAGGCACTTAAATCTTACCGAATTTTGAAGAAGAATTGCATATTCAATTTTCAAAAAGTATTGCTTTTTAGTATTACCTTTTTTAATACAAAATCATCTAATTATTTATGCAGAAGAAAATACACATTTTTAAAATGAATCTGACCATTCGAATAAATGGAAATACTGCTTTCCTAATGAATTTGACCATTTGAACAAATGGAAATATTGCTTTCCTAATGAATCTGACCATTTGGACAAATGGAAATACTGCCTTCCTAATGAATCTGACCATTTGAGCGAACCAAAACTATGATTTCCTAATGATTTTAACCATCGCAATATTTAAAAATGTAAAGTGCATATGTACACATGATTTTCTTGATGATATTTAAAAAGTTAATAACAATACTAATGAAAAAAAAAAGTAATTTAAATTTGAGTAATGAAATTGATTAACTGAAACATATGAAAAAAAAAAAACCTTGTTCGTTGTTCGGTGAAGCACCATTTTGTACCACATTCTTTTACAATATTATTATCATCATTTTCATCACCATCATCATCGTCATCATGATCATCAATATCTTCATTATTATCATCATCATCATTCTTCTTATTATTATTATTGCTAGTATGATCAGAAGATCGTCCTGGTACAACTAATCGTGTTTCACTACCACCATCATGATCTATATCAATTAATGTTGGCTTCAGTATAGTTTCACCATTCATAGCTGTTGTATTACGTGGTGAACATTGCAGATTAGTTCTAAAATATAAAAATCAATTTTAAATCAATTTTAGAAAATAGATCAAGTACTTAATTTTCTTGGACAAAAAAAATGCCTTTAAGATTAATTTCGTAAAAAAAAATAAAACAAAAAAAAAACGATAAATCTAAAAAATTTAAAAGGTACGAATGATTATTGTCACCTTGGCAGTGAATATTTCGGTACATCATAAATAGTATTACTACCATCCATTACTTCTAAATGTGACGGATGTGCGGAAGTCTTATACATTGTAGATGGAGCGGAACGTACGCAATAACGATTCTCATCAACTAATGGCTTATCAGAGTTTCCGGATGAGGAAGATGTTGACGGAATATATTGATGAACATTAAACATTGGATTGGTTGGTTGCAATGTTGATTGATATGTGGGATGATTATTTCCTTTTGTTGTACGCTCTACCGGACTGCTACTATTCGACGAACTCAAACTGTAGAAATATAGACAGATTGTTTCGGATAATTAAATAATTATATTAATACGTTGCTACGATGACGGATAAACGAAAGTAGAAAATGGGGGAATTAGAAAAAAACTTCGTAAATTCTTTCAAATTACTTCAAAAAGATTCTTATTACCTGCTACTATGATTTTGACTTTGATATCCACTGGATGGAGGTGCAACAATAGTATCCGGACATGTAACTGCTGTTTGTTCACGATCCGTTGATGCGAAAGTACGTCGTTTACTTTTACGTGGTGGACGTATATGACGAGAACGTATTAATGAAGATTCATGGGTTGTTTCATCCGAATCGGTATCATCATTTCGACGACAACCAACAGTTGAGTATTCGGATAAAATATTGGACGATACACAAGTATCATTTTCAGATGCTATTGATTTATTAGTAGCATCAAATGCAATAATTCTTTCACGACTTGCCGAAATATCCGGTATTGCTGTGTATGGATTCCTAAAATTCATTTATATAACGTAACTGTTTGAGCAAAAAAGTCTGACAATTACAATTTGAAATCATACTATAAATAGATAGCTCTCCTTTAGGAGAGAATTTTAAATTTTACACAACTTCATTTGCTAAATAAGCAATTACCGTAATTTTAAGATACTCTACTTTTTTTCAAAATAAATATTTTACTTTTTTTTATGCAAAACAAAATGTTTCGAAAAATAAACTCTATCAATATGATAACTATAAAGTTAAGAAGTATTCCTATTCATAATGAATAAAGCAAGCTATTGTGACTACTGTCGATAAAATTTACTGTATCCTACAGTAAGTTTTATCGACAGTAGTCACAATAGATTAATAACATAATAGATTTGAAATCATAATAGTACGATGAAGCAAATAATAACCTTCTATTATGCCGTTCACAAGATGCATTTTCATTATAATATCGTTGATTACGATTGTGTCCATTGCGATGTTTCTGTACGGTTAGACCGGCTTGTCTTACAGCCAAACTATCATTCAATAAGGCTATATCCAATACATAATCATCATTTGTGTTTAAATGAGCTGCTGGAACTGCCTTTGTTATCACTTGTGATTCGCTTACTGTATTACGAATATGTGATGGAACTTTCGCATTATTGTTGTGTGTAAGCAATCTGCAAATTAATAATTAAAATTCTTAATTTAAATAAGAAACATTTAGCATTAACACTAATCAAATTAATCATTTCATTATCGTACAGGAAGAAAAATTTAATCATAAATAACTCATTTATAATATAAATATTTAGCATACTATGAAAATTCAAAATTGAATTATATTGCTAATTAATTTGAAGTAATTTTATCAAAATTTCCTTTATTACCTTGAAACATTTTCATTATCATAATCAGAAGGTGAACTTTCAACCGGTAACAATTCATAATCTCTACAACCAACATTTCTCATTCGTATATAGCGTAATTTTGCTAAAATTAATCGTAATTCTGCCATCTGTGATCCATATTTAGAAGCTTGTTCATGAATCTAAAAAAAAATCATAAACTATCATTATGAATTATTAATTGTAATATCAGAATACTGGGTAAAGTTAAGCTTTTTCCTATTTTATTTCAAATATATGATTATAATCCTTACTGTTTTTTAAAGCAATAAAGAAAATGATTTTCATATTTTTTTGCTAATTTCAATTTAAAGCTAATATCATAATAACACAGTGGCAAAATCTATGAACCAAATATGTATTACTTCCTATGTTGAAAGTTTATCAAATACCGTTATTTAAGTTAAATATTTTTAAATTTAAACGAATAAAAAAGTTTTATGTTTCCAAAGTCAAATATCAGCTTTATCAAAAAAATTAACACAAAAAACGATTAAAATTCATTAATTTAGCGTTAGTTAAAAATGAAAAGAGAAAAATTGAAATTTTTAATTTTCAAGAAGAGGACTAAAATGAAGATGATGAATACCTCGGGAGTCCATAGTTCATCTAAATATGAATAAAGTAATGATACTTCTTTGCCAATATCTATCGATATGTTCCAATCATTTTCATTCAAATTTCGCTGATTATTTGCCGATGGTGTTGAAATTTTCATCAAATATCGATGCATATTATCCCATTCATTCTCCACGAATTCATTCATAAAATCCATGTAATGCTCTTTGCCACCAAATTTCGTAAAATTTGCTAATGTTTGCAATGCTTTAGCAATTAATGTAAGATTACGAGCTGCATGACCTGATGGATATTCGGAAATCTAAAAAAAAACGTGAAAAAACGACCTTTTAGATAAGTTTTATTCTAAACTTTAACAATTTAAGATTTGCAAAATAATAATATTACTGAATGATCATTTTAGTTTGAACAAAATAGAAAAGCAAAAAAAAAGAGCATGCGAAAAAGTTTTAATTAGAAAGAAAATTTGATGGAAATTAAAAGCAAAAAGTTAGTTTTCCATTTCATTGTAATCTTAAGATAGTAAATGATGGAATAATAAAGAAGTGAACAATAGATGATTAAAAAGTGAAAAACTTAAAAGTATTAATTAATTCGAAAAATTCTCTAAAATAATTTTAGTAGTCATAAAAATAATGCTTTCCAAAAATAAAAAAAATCAAGAAATTTATAAAAACTTTTCGCTTACCAAATTGAACAAACTGGGACTGAGTATTGCTGGACAAAGAAATCGAAGAAAAATGCTGGATGAAATTAATGTATCGGCAAGATCAAGCCGACCAATTTTTTCCAGTCGTCTTCGCAGGGTAATGAAAATTTCACGTAATTCAATTGGAAATATTTCAGTACTGAAATATGATTTAACACTTTTTTTCCCTTACAATAAAACTTAAATAAGTTTTCTTCAATTGAAAAGTTTTAATTAAATGAAAATAAAACTTTACAAAAAATAATGTTCATTTCTAACGCAGATGAAATTAAGTTTATTAATAAAAAACCAAAAAAAAAGCAATTTCAGATATTACATTCATTTTGTATATCATTGAATTTTTACTATGAATTACAATATGTGTAACATATTTGGATAAACAGTAATGAATGAATAATAAGAAAAGCTGAAAGTAATTGAAATTAAAAAAATTCCAATTTAAAATATCTGTCGATTTATGAACATTGAACTGTGCTTCAAGCAACAAAATCAAAATTATTCCTCATTTGCTTAAAAAATGAAATAAAATTTGAAAATGAAATTCAATAACCTGGCCAATATTTTGGACCATGCAGTTTTAACATTTGCTACCAATTGATGACGATTCTTTTCCAGTGTTATCACACTGATATTTGCCATTTTCAACGGATCTACCTCACAATCCTTATCAGATTGTTGCATTGTTTTGACAAATTCGCCAAGTGTATTCTAAAAATTATCAAAACAAAATGTTATGGTTATATTTATATGCTCACTATTGATAATTTTATATTATGTATTTAAATTATATTAGATGTACTAATATCAATATTCAATATTGTTAATCCACATGCACCTAATATCATATATTATTGTTATGCATTTGATGTACTTAATATCATATATTATTATTAGGCACTTTATATACTTCATATTGCTATAGCATACGAGTGCTTAATATTAAATATCACAATACGTACTTAATATATTGTGATATTTAATAAACTTAGCTTATTTAAAAACTTAGTTTGAATAAGCTTAGCTTATTTCTTCTTCGATGTTGCAAAGAAAAAAACAACCATATAAGTCTGTAAAGTTGATAGATAATTTTTGTGTGAATGCTAGTTTCTTATTAATTATTATAAACATTAAATAAAAATCAAATATAATGCTGAAAATGATATCAAATGATTGTAAAATCTTTCACCTTATAAATTTATGTTTATAAAGAATGAAAGAAAGAAAGATTTACTTGAAGATATTCATCTGCAACCAATTTCATATACGCTTCCATTGCTTTTGTTGCTAATGAATTACCTCGAAACATTAAATGCTCATTATCTGCAACTAATAACTTTGAAAAAATCTATAATGAAAATTTCAAACTATTTCAGTGAGAATGTGAAAATTTTTCAATATAAATATTTTGCTACTGTATATTACTGTAGCTCTCCGCTACTGTATGCTACTGTAGCTCCTTGCTACTATTAATTTACAAATTTTATCTGCATTCGAATCCTAAATTAAAAATGCAGCTGATTAGATTTTAATTCCTTAAATTTATTAAATTAAACGATTTTCAAATAACTTATATCAAATAAAACTCTATCGATATTAAATAAAAAAAA